TTCTTTGCGTGAACATTTGGGCGGCATTATGCAAATCTTCCCACATCGTGACGTAGACATTGTGGGGGCGTGTTAGAACGAGCCGTTTTAGGTAGGCGTGGTTGACTCTTAACCTTTATAAAGAATATCTCTACTTTAGTCTTTAGTCTTTGCAACTTTACAGATCTTCTTTATGCACCAAGAGCTTGTAACACTCCAAAGAAAAATGGAAAAATTGAAATCGCATCATATGACCCCTTTAAGGTTTGTGTGGTTTATGAGTGTCATTTTTTTTTTAAATGTCTATATAAAGGTTGTTTTTAGCTCTAGTTTCAGTTCTAGTTTATTTAGTTGTAGTTGTTTTAGTACTTCAACTTGAACTAATTGAAAATGAAAAATGTCTTGGCAACTAGTTGGAATAAAAGTATTTTTTAAATGTAATTGTTATATTTTTAAAGGGTTTGTTTTAGTCTTAGTTTATTACGATAATAACCTTAATTTTCATTTTAAAAGTAAGCTTACTTTAGGACCATTTTATATATATATATATATATATATATATAATTTGTGAAATGTTCAATGATTGAGATGGCCAACCAAATCAAAGTAGGCAGGGTTTACGGTCCACAGAAGCAGAGAGTACATTTCAGCATGAATTGTCAGTTTTAACAATGAAAGACCCAGCTAAAGAAGTAGCGAAACATTTAATATTTCACAACTGCTATGTAATGTTATGGAATGATTCATCCATGCATGCATTTCATTTATTTATTTTTGACCTTGTAATGCCAAATCAAATCAAAGTGTCACAATGCAATCTTCTGGTGAAAACGTCAGACTTCTTTCTGGTGATGTATGCAGGATTCCAATCATTTAATGCTTTTTATTTGATGTCTACATGGACATGAATTATGGGAAGAGAGAGAGGGTAGGGAATCGGATATGTTGCCACCAATGTGTCACGGCTCTGAGAGAGTACTGACCAGATGACTTCCCCAGTGGCAGCAGCATGCCGGCGGGGCCCCTGGAGGACGTGAGCTCTGGCCCGAGAAGATCTGAAGTCTCCTGACCTACAGTCTCGGCCTGATCCAGTAAACACACCTGCTCCAGCAGGGGCAGGAGAGCTCCCATCCCACCTACAGAGCTCAGCACATCCTACACACAAGACAAGATAATAAAACATAATTAGCATTTACTGCTCCTGCAGGGATCTATGAGCTCACGAGTTTTGTTCTAGAAGTATGTGTTGAATACACACATTTACCAACACTGGCAAACACAAAAGGCTGTATTGATGTCAGAACAAGATGAATCATTCTGATCTTAAAAGATAATGAAGCTCAGTGATGCATACACACCTTTACGTCCCAGTTCACCACTCTGTGACCAGTCAGCCTGCCATCGTAAAGATGGTTGGGGGACAAATCCAAACAGATCTGGCTCTTAAAGGCCTAGAATGTGAATATTTAAAGTTTAAATCATATTTAAACTATATTTATCTAGACATATTTATCAGTATTTATTCTATAGTTATTTTGACTTTTGAACTTTTGAATATAATATATTTATTTTATGTTACTGTCATTTATAGATTCATTTATTTTTACTTTTTTCACTAGTGGGCTCTTGACCTTTAGACTTTTGAAGCTTACTTTATATTACATTTATATTATATTGCTATTATCATAAATATACAGAACAGTTAGTCAGATGGACATCTGGATGAATCTCTGAGCAGATAATTACCTGTGGTGTATAGTATAAAACTAGTTTACTGTTGACTTCTGAAGGTTCACCATCAGCTTTGAACAGAGAAACATTATTGGGACCTGCCAAGTGAAACAGAGACAGACCTTCTTTAACGCTTGTTTCTTTGTGGTTGGAAAGGTGAATTTCTGCATTATGAATGCGGTGGATGTCTCATTTATACCTGCAGTGAACAGGGCTCGTGCCTGAGCAGGCTGCAGAGCTTCATGGCAGATGAACACTGTGGCTAAAAGGCCACCCAGTGATGAAGGAGAGCCCCATGCAGTGTCCTGTAGCCCTGCCGGGATGGTGTGAACTAGACTGTCCCGACTCACACCTGGCCGCCCCCCTGCGGCTGCTGCAAAGGATGCAGGGAAGGACTGGGAACGTGCAAGGGTGGGTGGCCCAGCATGAGCTGCAAATGCCATCTCGGAGGGCGAGTGGGACGGGTTGGGCAGGGTCGGAGAGGTAGTCATGGTAGTAGTGGTCCGGTGACCAGCTGATCCAATGCAGCAGGAAGTGAATGGCTGAAACGTTGATAGTCAAACAGACCAATGAAGCAAAACATGTACATAATAAATCAAACTACTGCAGGCAATAACATTTATTCACCTCATTCAGAGAAGGAAAGCGCAGGGGAGCTGTTTTACACTGCATTCCGTCCACATAAACAGTGACCACATTCTGTCCAAAGGGCCGACGGCCAGGAACGTGAACAATGGCAACTGAGTGCTAGAGTGAAGAAAAGAAGGGTAAGAATAAGACTTTGAATACAGAAATTAAATCTTACAATGATATGATCAGTGTTGGGTGTAACGCATCACAAGTAATGTGAGTCACATAATCAGATTACATTTTTCAAGTAACTAGTTGCATTACTAATGCATTACTTGTAAATTTACAACAATATATGTGAATTACTTTTTTAAACAAATAATGCAAGATACTTTGTTTCCCCATTTATTCACTGACACGTCTCCTGTCTCCGTGTTGAGAGAAACTTTGAGTGAGGTGCAGAGGCAGAGGCACTTCCTTCAGCCTGAGGCTTATTATTGTCATTTTTGGTGTGAAATGGCCTTTACAGTTGCCATAAATATAACTTTTGTTTTTTTTGTTATTAAAAAACAAATAAGCAAGCCAAGTCCAGGTGACACAAAGTAACGCAAAAGTAGTGTAATGCATTACTTTCCATAAGAAGTAAAGGAATGCAGTTAGTTACTTTTTTATGGAGTAACGCAATATTGCAATGCATTACTTTTAAAAGTAAATTTATCCAACACTGGATATAAAAAAAAAGTAAGCTTCTTCCCTTACGAAAAGTAATCATGGTTTTATAACAAATAATAATAAAAAAACAAGGTTAACATTGTTTAGCCATGATAACCACAAATTAACCATGGTTTTGATACACTAATCATAGTTTAACCATAGTATTTGTAGTAAAACTGTGGTTATACAAATGGAAATGAATATGCCCAAAAAAACAAAACATGGTTACTTCACGTTTACTATAATAAAACCATGGTTAATTTTTGGGAGGGTTTAATTGAAATCATGCTAAAAAGGCTAGTCAAGCTAAAGCTAATTCAGCAGTAAAACAAAAATACATGTGCTTTTTCTAATATTTATTTTCACACAAGTGCTGTTTTCTCTTCCTTAAACTGTCTATGATAATATGTGTGAAAATTGTCTGTAAGGTCACTAACCCAGGCGCAATCATTCAATGGGTGTTCTGGCAGGGAAACAGCCATGTACTCCTTTTTAGTACATACTGCCACCACCAAAACTTCTTCTGTGGTGAAAAACGCTTCAAAGCCAGTTCCGCTTGCAGTGAAGAAACTACACACAGGACACAATACAGCTTTTAAAGGTATAAGTACACATAAAACAAGTACTCTTGGTCACCAATACAGCGTGCTGTTAAAAACGCAAGTTCTAGATTACTATTAATATTAATGTACTAAACTCATGCAGATATACAATATGTACAAGCATTTTGTAACAAGCAGGCCTGGGCAATATATTGAATATTCACCACTTACTCACTATCATTTTATTTGCCATATAAAACTAAGCAACAATTGTAAATATAGAAGAATTGCAAAATGCTGGTTAAAATCATAGCGATGTTGAACTGCAGTCATGAGTGTTAAGACAAATACTTTAATTTCATCTCTGATCATCTTTTCAGCAGTAAAATCGTTGTTAATGTTAAGCTTGCAAGTTGCAATTACTGATTACAGATAAATGAAAATGAGCAAATACTGCAGATGCACAATATGCATATTTACACCCACATTAACATAATACATAATAATGATGTGATGCCTAAAATCAACTATAGCATTTAAAACAATTGACTTAAAATATATAATTTAATATAACTAATACTTAAATCGTTTAATAATCATCTGGTCATCTGCATTAACACAACCATTTTCAACTATGATAATAAAAATAACAAGCACCAAATATTACAATGATTTTTAAAGGATCATGTGACACTGAAGAATGTATATATATCAAAAAGGCTAAAACAATTACAAGAAATGATACAGCAGATGATGACATTTTTATTATAACACCCATCTATCATGAGTATTCTCGAACAAACCTGTAAAGCTGTTTCCTGCGTGGTCCCTTAGCCATTCGAACCATATTATCCGGGTTTGTCAGGTGGGATTCTGAGTAGTGGTGTTGGGGTGGAGGAAAGTCTGTGTTGAGGCACAACCAGGCATGGAAAGCAAATGCGCTTCCTGACCAGCGCTGTATAGCTGGCACCATAATACCCGCCATAGGGGGCATAAGGTCAAAATACTGCAAGGCGCTGCACCCACCCTCTCCACGGGCGGCCATGGCAGAAATCACCCTTACAACGCGCCCGCAGTACGGGTGAGGGGGTGCACCGGGTTCAGTCCACAAGAGCTTCAGCAGACTCTTCAGTTCACAGGGCCGTAGAGAAAGAGATCCCAAGTCTTGAAGCAAACCCAAGAGGGCGTCTGCGCACTGCCGGTCGAGCCGCACTGGGGGTTCGGACAGCACCTCCAGCAGAGCGCCTACTAAGTCTGCTTCAACGGCTACAGTGCGGCAGGACAGAGTTCCTCGACACACGGCCGCCAGCCACTGAGACACCAGCAGCTGCAGAGAGCGAGAGCCCAGGTCAGGCAACCACTGCAGCAGCAGGAGCAAAGGCTGTTCATTACTGATGCCCAACTGCATGGCCAGGGAATGCTCTCCTTCAACAGCCTGAGAGGAAAACATGGAGAAAGGGGAAGGACAAAGCAAAAAGTGATGCTATGAGGATACAAGTTTTTTTAATCATAGTGACTCAGTCATGATCCTGAAATAATTCATAGTTACACAACTTACTGCATTTGATTAAAAACTTACTTCTTGAGCAGTAATAAGTACGTTTTATAAGTATGCATATGTGTAGTATGAAATTCAGAGTTATTTCAGTACCATTAATGTAGTTTTATAGTATTAATATATTTATTAATATTTTGAATTCGTTTTTTGTTTTTATATTTTACATTTTCATTTTAATATTATTTTAAGTGATTTATTTTAGTAATTGTTTTGTTTTATTATTTAATTTTTATTTTATTGTATTTTTTATATGTCTACTTAGTTTTTAGTATTTTATTATTTTTATTTGAGTTATTTTCAGTTTTAATCATTTTAGTATATAAACTTCAATTAATTAGGTTTAAATGTTGGCTTGGCAACTAGCTGAATTATTATTTCATAATATTTAATATTTGTTTTGTTGTTTATATTTGACATTTTCTTCAGTTTAAGTTTAAGAAATGTTTTGTTTTGTTTTGTTTTATTTATTATGTCTACATAGTATTTATTTTTTTATTTCAGTTTTATTTTAGTTATTTGTAGTTTTAGTAATTTGTAATTGAGTAATTTAGTGGTTTTTCAACTTTAGTTTAGAAATGTCGGCTTAGCTACTAAGTAACTGTTTGTTTTTATATACTGTATATATATATATATATATATATATATATATATATACTTTTATTTCAGTAAACATTTATATTTTATATTTTGTAATAGTTTGAGTTTTAGTTAACAATAATGATTGATGGCCTGCAACATCTTCACAGGTCAGGATTCAACATCATAGGACTCTTCTCTTGTGGCCTTATAGGATAGTAAAGTGTCCACTGAATGCACATTTCAGAATCAGTGGAAGCAGTAGATTGTTTGCCTACTGTTTTTTTTGTTTTTTGAATACTGTGTATTTATTATGTTACTCATTTGACAGTTTTTCACATGGAAGTAGTCAAATTTGGATGTGGAGTATTCTTTGACGTGTGTCAGATTTGTGTCAAATGGAAACATCAAATATATGCAGAGGCCTCCAGAAGCGGGACTGAGAGGATTCTCTGGTACATTTGAAAACAACAGAAGATGACCAAAGTGTTTACAGGTAAAATAACAAGAAGCCTAAATACTAACACACATCAAATTACTTTTTACAGAAACAACTTTCTTTCTGTTCTTCACACAATTTCTATCGTATGGCTTTAAATATATAATTAGTATTGAACAAATGTATTTTTAGTCCATTCAAATTGTTTTCTAAATAATATGGAATTCCGGTGGTCACGTGATCTCAACATGTCCGCCCCCATGAAGCCGACCCTCTCCATGTAAAATGAACCCACTTTTAATAGGCTACTAATAGGAGACTCGTGCGAAAGTATGTCATTTTAATTTTATGGTTACAAAGCACCTATTACTTTACGTGTAAAAATACTGAGTACAAATTTCATCTGACTAAATGTCGAAAAGGAAGGAAATGTAGGTCACACCATCTGTGATAGTAGTTACAGTTAGTTTCTTCTCACTCACCATGTTCATCAGCTCCTGCAGGAGTCTTTTGGTGGGCTGTCCTTGACTTTTCAACACATCAAACAACTGTGAGTAGCCAATCCGCTCCTTGAAGACCTCCTGGGAAGACAAACCACAGTTACATTACAACTGAACAAGCACAGAATACAATGAGTGCTCTCACCACCCTGTTCCCCAAAATAAACCAAAACACAAAAGGTACTATACAAAGCAGAAATGTTTTCACATGAAAAAAAGTGGGATAGCATGAAAACAGGATTTTGCTTCAAATTTTATTTAAATTCGAAAGTCCAGTCTTCTGTTAACAACTTTCAGAATGCAAGGCCACCCAGAATATTTATTGAAACTACGTTGCAAAAACATAGCCATAAATCTTCACAGTTGTGCCACAGTATAATGTTTGCTTTGCAAAGAGGGTGTTATTGAAGAACAGGGTGGCACAAACTACTGTATACTTGACCCAACAGCAAAAAGGTTAGCCAATAAAAACAAGGGCATTTACATACAGAAGTAGCAGTAAAGAGTTTTCCATTATGAGGAGAAAAACAGTCATGAAAAACTATACCATGACATGTATATTGGTATATATATATATACTGTATATATATATATATATATATATATATAAAAAACAGGATATGGGATTATGATACTTTTGGACCTGACCCATAACTGTACCATAAAATAAAGGAGGAAGCGCATGTTGTAATGTCGCCATGTGTGACCTGGTTTTGCAGAACCACATCAAATGTGCTGATAAGATTAACCACACACGCATAAGGGGCACATTTATCATATGCAAGCATTTTGACTTATCATGCTGATAAGACAAGAGACGTCTGCAAGCTGACGTTTCAGGAAAAACATACATAAGGAGCGAGAGGAGAGGAGGTGTAAGACATGAGTCGATGACATGTCATACCTTGGCTGAGGGCGAGTTGCTCATAATGGCGGTGAGAACTCGAATGGCGTGTACTGTGATGCAGTCAGAGCCCTTTTCCCAGACCTACACACACATATGCAAAATACACACGACATTTAGTTCATATTCACATTCTCATGGATTAAATGATTAGTTCACCCAAGAATAAATATTCTGTTAATACTCATGTATTTCCAAGCCCATAGGAGAATTTTTTGAAGAACCAATGCCGTTTTGTCTGAAATTTCTGAATTTAACACAGACATAAATGAGCTTTCAAAGCTTCAGTGAATTTTCGGTGAACAATGACAAATGTTTTGGTCTGTTCCTCAAACGAAGCTATCATATGGCTTCAGAAGACTTACAGGCTACTTTCATTCTGCATTTATGGTGTTTTTCGTCCATTTTAGAGCTTGACAGATATGGTCACTATAAATATTGTTGTAAGAGCTGAATGAAGATTCTTCAGAATTTCTCCTTTTGTTTTCCACAGAAAATAACAGCAAAATATGGGTTTGGAATTACATTAAGGTGAGTAAATAGTGATATATACGCTACCATTCAAACATTCGATTTTTCTTTTATTCAGCAGGGATGCATTTAATTGATCAAAAGTGACAGACTTTTATATTACATATTTTTCCTTATACTAGTCAGAAATGTTTCTTGAGCACTAAATCAGCATATTAGAATGATTTCTGAAAGATCATGAGACATTGAAGGTTGTAGTAATGGCTGCTAAAAAGTCCGCATTGCCAACAAAGGAAATAAATTACATTTTAATATATAACAATTATTTTAAATGATTGAATATTTCATACTATCATTGTTTTTACTGCATGTTTGATCAAATAAATGCAGCCTTGGTGAGCATCAGAGACTTCTTTCAAAAACATAAAAAAACAATTACCGACCTCAAACGTTTGATCAGTAGTGTGAACATTTTTGTGTGAAATATTGCTTTTAATAAAACCGTTTCAGAGAGATGCATGCAAGGAGATATCTATAAATTCTGAACATTCCTCCCTGAAGTGCAAGATTCTGTTAAAAACAAACTGAATACAAATTAATGTTAAAAAATGTAATTAAAGAGATTAAAACATGCAACAGTAAAACCGATTTTTCTTTTAACCTTGAAATATTTACCACCATTCCACCACAAATATCCCACCAAAGACCACCAAATGAAACACACACCAAATACACCTACAGCACCACAGATACACTAGACATGCTAAAAATCTAGATCACTGCAAGACAACATGCAAGGTGACAGGCCTTGCAAGTACATCCAAACACACACACACACACACACACACACACGCACACACTAAACCACCACAAGCAGGATCCTCACCCTCCAACTCTGTGTACTGACACTGCATAAACCTTTAAAGATGTACTGAAATGGTACCATGATATCAAATGATAATTTCACAGTACTATGTGATCGCTTTATTTATATACAACAGTGTTGGTATCATTTACCAAAACTATTAAAAATAAAGTTGAAGTGAAGTAATAAAATTATTAACTGAAATAAAATGAACTAAAATAGAAATAAAAATAAATTACAACTATTTAGAAATATATATGAATAAACAAATAAAATAACAAAAGCACATAAAAAAGAATTAAAAATTAGAATGAAAGCTGAACATATAATTATAAAATCTAATTCAAAATACTAATAAAAACTATAAGTATGCTACTATATGTTAAAGTAGTTGACACTGAAAATTGACATGCCCTGTGGTGTGACATGTTCTACTCCAACTAAAACTATTTTAAAAAGCATTTTGCAAATTCTTTTAAGATTTTATCCATTCTGCTTTTATAAAATCATGCAATATCTGTAGGTTAAATAATAACAATAATAATAATAATATCTTAAAAATACAAAAAATATTTAACATTTTAATTTTTTAGAATTAAAATTAAACTATGCATGCATATATGAATGTCAAAAATAATGTGTTTATTTTTGACATTCATATATGCATGCATAATTTAATTTGGTTTCAAATTGTGATAAAACAAGTTATCAAAAGAGCTCATTTAGATCATTTTACATGACATTATAGCCAGTCTGATGCCAGTTTTCCCCTAAAATATTGCTGATTGATGTAATCCATCAACTACCATTAGAACACGATAGTACCACCATGTCATATCCAACTACCATGGTACAATAACAACAGCATAATGTTTTAAGTTTTTTTTGTTGCATTTAAGTCAACTGTGTCACAAACTGGCACATGCAACGACACATGCAGATGTTTTGGTACTGTATATTCACCTAGACAGCACTGCATGTTTACGTAGAGCTTGTTATGCAGAATCTAATGTTGCTCAGTCAGCAGTTGTGTGTCTGTGTTTGTGTCAGTCAAGTGAAGGGTGGGTTTCCTGCTTTATGAACGGCACACTGATCAGCGATGAAGGGAAAGTACCTGCTCCACTTCAGCCTCTGTGAGCAAACGTGTAGTGAGGTCACACTGGCCCTCACACTCCACCTTAAACCTGTTACTCTGATATAGCTGCAGGACAGACACACATTCACACGCACAGCGTCACAAGAAACACATGAACACAAGTGAGTCAGAGATAAAATAAGCAAGCAGAAATCGAACTTACTGACAGATAAAGCAAAAAGAAATGAATAGGTAACAGACGAAAAAGAGAAGCTGTACGGAATTCTCATTACACAACATCAAGGCTAGTTACAACACAGTCAAAAACCACCCAGCTTACCAAAACCAACTGTGATTACATACAAGCATATGACGCAGAACCTATATTTCATCACAGGACGGAAACAGAGGCTGTGCTACAAATAATTATTGTTCGTCATTTTGATGCACTGGGTTGTAAACCATCTGTCATGGTCTATTTTTATCTGTCAGTAAAATATTGGCTTAGTAATATACTGGCTTAATGGATCAATGAAAAAGCTAGTTTAAAATACATTTTCAAAGTTCTTAGAACTACAACATTTATATTCGTATTGGTTTTATATCACATTTTTATATCATCTTCAAAGAAAGTTTCAATTTAAGTAGTCAAGTAGTAACATGTTTTCATTGAATACATGTGTACACATCTTAATAATTCTTACAAAAAAGTATTTTTTTATTTTTTTTTTACAAATGAATTAATTTGAATATCATTACTTTTAATACAATTTTAATTCAATAAATAAATATCATTACAATTTAGTGAGCTGCAAAACACGACTTTTAATACTGAAATGAACTTGACCTGTCAAAGGCCAAACTATCTGATATTTCTGTCTGCAGGGATCCTCTCTATGATATCATTTCCTGTTTTTTCTGCATGTTGGTTGCACCAACTTTGATTAGACAAATGTTTTTTTTTTGTTTGTTTGTTTTTTTCAAATAATTATGCCAAATTACTTGAAAATAAAACTTATTGAGGCTTTTTATATTAGGATAGTTGTATGACATTTTTTTTTTGTTACATTTTTAAGCTTTTCCTTTTTGGTCTATTCACAAAATGTATGTGAAAGAACTCCTTCGTATGTTAATTGAAATATATTTGAAATAAAATATACGTATTAAATAATTAAATGAAAATTAGAAATGTTGCCTTGGTAACTGAAATATGTTTAGGTGAAGTACTAAAATTACTGAATGAAATAAAAATAAATGTAGATATATAAAAAAAAAAAACTTACAAAATTTTGAAAGCATATAAAAATTACTAAAAATTCAATTCAAATGAAAATATTCATATAAAAACTATAATAGTATATAAGTGATACTAAAATAACACAAAATGGTACTTTTGGGAAAGTTGATATGCCCTGTTGTGTGGCTGTTTTTTTCTGCACGTTGGTTGCACCACCTGACATTGATTTGGCAGACAAATGTTTTTCAAATATTTACTGTTTGAAAAATTACTTATTAAAATGCTGAAATTCATTAAACATATTGAGGCTTTTGATATTAGGACAGTTGCAATACCCTGACAGTTTTTACTTTTTCATTTTTTTTTTTTTTATTCAGCTGATGAAATGTACAGGTGCATCTCAATAAATTAGAAGTCTGTGTGCATTGAATTTATTTAATACACGAGTTTCACAATTTGAGTTGAATTACTGAAATAAATGAACTTTTCCACGACATTCTAATTTATTGAGATGCACCTGTATTTAAAAGAAATGCTTCAAATCCCTACTGACATCCTTCAGTGGGAACGTTTACTGAGTCGGGATATATCTGGTATCTTATGTAAAAATGATTTTAATCATTTTAAAATATCATATATTTTTACTTCATAAATGACAAAACATTTTTTTTTAAATAAAGCAACCTCTAGATTGAACCATGGCAAATCTGTGGTTCAGATTAGTCAACCCACGTTCAGTAATCTGCTTGTTATCTTTCAGGCCAAACATCAGCAGTCTGCCACATTTCAACCATGAGACTGATTTGAATCCTCAGGGCTGGAAATGTGAAGCGCTGCTGCAGATATCTCAGAGGGTTTAAGAAGGTATCGTTCTGACCTTGCTGTTCTGGATGAGGCGGAGGATGTGCTCGAAACAGTTGTTGTTGAGAAAGATAGCCTGCAACACCGGCCGGTCTGAACACTGCAGGATCTCTGGGATAGCATCTGCAGGGCGAAAACACAAGAACATTCAGTCTTTTTAACCTGTGCCTTCTGGAGAGATAAAACTGTGCCAGTTTTAGGCACTTAAATAAACAGTGCTGGGACATCAGCATTACTCACGGTAGAAGAAATTAAATGCAACCAAATAGCTATTTTGTGTCCTTTTGCAACTTCTCAATTCAAATTGTTTCCAGAGAACTGGCTACAATTAACTTCTGGAAAAGGGGTGGAAGTTCACCATAAATACATTATAAATGTTTAAAAACAACATTAAACATATCATACACAGTTGTCTGGGTTAAAGATCTAGAATCAGAAGCTCTGCAATTCACCATGTATGATACAACATTGTTGTGTTGATTTTTAATTTTTTTTATTGCAAGATGCCAACAGTTACATCATGACGTATCATATTACTTGCCGATTACATGAAATACTTCTGGGAAGTTGATGTGACATGCACTCCAACTAACTATTCAAGCAGCATTTTTCTACTTGTTTTATAATTGTAATGTGTGCAATTTTATGACCTTATATTAATTGAGAGACCTGGAATATTTGTATTTCAAAAATGAAACTGTCACACTGCAGGACCATTTAATGTAAATTATAATTGAACTAGTGAAGGCAAAAAAGTGTTTAAAGGAAATTGTGACAATGCACTTTCTTCATACTCATATATGAATATTAAATTAAAGGGTTCGGGCTCAAACTGCCTTTCTTTGAGCAGCTGAAGTTTATGAAGCAGATTAATAGGGTGTTTGGGGGTGTGGCCTGACTTATGGGCGATGACTGGTTTCTGTTCAGTGAGGTTCAGTGAGTGCCAATAGGGTGATGATCCTTAATGTTTAGAGATTAGGATATATTGTAATGTACTGAAACTTAGCAGCTGCTTTCTAAGGCCCCGATCAGACAGAACGCAGTGAGAGGCGCTTTTTAAAAATGTTTTCTATTGGCAGTGAGTGTTTTGCGTGCTGTTTATGCGCCCCGGGCCGCCTGCTGCGCATCGCATTTTTGTGCCTGAAGTTGAAAAAAAATCAACTCTGAGCAGAAAAGTGCTCGACATCATTCACTTTTATTTTATTTTTTTCATTGTCTAAACGAATGAATGGAGAGGCAGGCCTTCCGTTGTGGTGACGGAAGTTTACAGTTGCTTGGAACGTCCAGAGACTGCAATGATGGAGGAGAAACTTGTGGTGGTTGTCGAGGGTTACCCGGAGCTGTATTTTTATTTTTTTTAAGTTTCTGCTAATATAACAGTTTACTTAAGAGCAAACCAAAGATTTTAGAGCGCTTGCGCTATAATCCTTGATTAGACTGACAGGACAGCTGATTTGGTGGTTGCCTAGCAACATTAAAAAAAAACCCACAGCGCTCTGCTCTTTTCTAAATTAAAAGGAGTCAACCAAAAAAAGGCAGTGCAGTGCGCCTCGCGTTTTCAAACCTGAAAAACGCGTTGTGTCTTATCGGTGCCTAAGGCAGCATCCTAACAGTCATGGATTCTCAGTACTGTCTTTTGTGTTCTACAAAAGCAAGTAATGTCGGTCTGGGAGAACATGAGGGTGAGTAAATGATGACAGAATGTTCATTATTGGGTGAACTATTTCGTTAAAGGGGACATCGGATGACCATTTTCCACATGTTGGTATGATTCTTTAGGGTCGCTATGAAATGGCCGTAACATTACCTCAATGATCATGTAAAACAATACCTCTTCCGTGGGGCGTGTCGACACAAGACAAGTGAATATATCCGTATATGGCTCGGAGGTGGTCTTATTCAAATAGCCAGCTATCCATGTAGAAACTGGCTGCAAACTGAAACAGCTCACTTGATGACAGTTTCAGACTCAGACAGCACAGAATGAACTGGCTGCGTGTTTTCTTTTTAGCTTTTCTGATCTAGCAGACACGCCAGAAACCTAACTAAATGCAAAAAAAGCTAAAAAAGTGAACATTTAATCCGATGTCCCCTTTAACATGAAATATCATGAAATGGGAACCACCCACTATAGAATACTGGATGCTTCAAATGAAAAGAGATCAAACTTACAACTCAAAGACTAGTAAGAACTAACCAATTGATGACTGAGTTGTTTTTCTCTATTTAACGAAACTGCAAGAAATAATTAATAAACAACAAAACAGAACAGAACAGAATGGAACCTCAAAAGTGAGTGATTTGAAACACCCTACAAAGGTAGGGTTCACACAGGCAATGACATTCTGTCTTTTTACCAGTACAGCACCATACACACATCAGTTTCAAAATACCGGTAAATTCTGTGACATCATTAACCGGAAATGACCCCGAAACGGCTGCACCTCCCGGTGTTGTGTTTGTAAACATGGAGGGGTATACGTGGTCAGTGTTTTTGTTGATGTTTTCATTTTTTTGTCAAACGTTCACATTCATGCAGCTGCTTTTTGCCCAGAGACATCGAATTTACCAGTATTTCTGAAAAGATCGAGTTCACACGTGATCTCTTAACAGTAATTTAGCAGTAATTTACCAGTAAAGACTGTGAAAGGGGCTATTAACATGCTGCTAAGGTAGTAGCATGATAACCAAATAAACACAAAAATACACAACTATTGGTTAAAATAATCTATTTGAACAAAATTAAATACTTATTTTAATCAACATTTCTATTACCAATTCGGCCATCTTGGATAAACTTGTTCACTGTGCTTGTTGCAAGGCATTCTGGGATTGCTTTCTCTACAAAAAATCCATGCAATGCAGTTTTAGTTCGAATTAGGCTGAAATTAGGCATCTTATAAGGCAGAATAATTCAATTAGGGAATACTGGTGCATTCACGGGATAGTTCACCCAAAAATTAAAATTCTGGCATCATTTACTCACCCTTGCAAACCTGTATGACTTTATTTGTTCTGTGGAACACAAAAGATGATATTTTGAAGAATATACATACTGTTTTCAACCAAAGTTAATGGTGGCGATGCTGAGACATTTTTCAAAATATCTTAATTTGTGCTCCACAGAAGAAAGTCATAAATTAAAAAAAAAATTTGAGGTTAATGAGTAATGGGAAATATTCTCTTACTCAACATATGTTCGAGAAGTATAATGAGGTTATCCTCCCAGGTCTGCATATCTCCCTGCTGGCTGTCCGGTGGCCGGTTCCAGTTGAGCAGCTGGAAGTAACCGTCCAGTACAATCCGGATCTCTACCTGCCTGTCGACCGGGCTGCTGGAGTGCAGAAGGTGGATCATTGCAGTCAGGCACTGCAGGGTCATTTTGAGCAGCCGAGGGTCCTTGGGCTCTTGTGGGGATGAGGCAGGAGTGAGGCACCAGAAACGTAGCACAGACATTAGGTCCTTCACAGCCTGGGAGGTGATGGAGAGAAGGCCGTTTCTCTGAAACACACACACAAAACGTTAGCACATTACACACTGATGTAGTGAGGTATGTGGTCGGCGTTAATACATGTCAATGAAAGGAGGTCCAGAGAGTCTAATTTACCTTGCATCCACTGATTACAGCTCCCTGAAGATGCACCAGCCTCACCACGAGTGGCTCTGGGATTAGTTCACTCTCTTGTAGGTAGTCTGTGGGTATAACCAGTCATTTAGTCACAAGAATCTTAAAGCTGAGCATTGTTTGTGCAATTGTCATTATTTTAACATTTTAAGGCACAAAAACATATTTTTGTTAAAGAGAAAGTTTATTCAAAAATAAAACTTCTGTCATCATTTACTCACTTTCACACCTTTCCAAACCTGTACGCATTTACTAGAAGACAATATTCTGAATTTTTATTACTGTTTTTCCCATACAATTAAAGTCAATGTGGTCCATTGTTGTTTGACGGAATTTTAATTTTTTGGGTGAACTATCCCTTAAAAAGGAACTGTCATGAAATGGGAACTGCCTACCATAGAAAAACACCAGATGCTTGAAATGAACAAAGATCAAACTTGAAACTCAAAGACTAGTCAGAATTAACCAGTTCATGACTTAAGTATTTTGTTGTTGTACTTACTGAAGCTATAAGAAAGAAATAATAAACACCAAAACAAAACAAAAAACATTGTGCTGTAAATCGATTAAAAAAATTAATAACACATTTTTTCTGAAATGAATCGCCATTAATCCCACCTAACTTTAAAGTTTTTAAATATACTTTTATATTGCAGTAATTTCACATGCAATCTTCAAATTAATGTAGAAACAACAAAGACAGTATATATTTTAATATTTGTTTAGTGGCATCTTTTTTTATGACTGAAGGCCAGTATGTATCAAGATACCAATACTACTTAAGTCTCTATGAAATAGTTTTCCCCCTAATATTTAACCATTGACTATAGCCATTCAACATTACAGTACAATTGAGAGCTATTAACATTTATTAGACTTTAAAACATAACTTCTAATTCAAGTGAACTTAAAACAATCTTCACATAAACCCATTATAAGAAATGTAATATTTAGCTCCCTGTGCCCTTCAGTAAGCAGGAAATATAAAGAAAATGAATAAAGTTATTAAACACTAAATTCTAAATTAAATATAGATTAATCCTTAAAGCTACAAAAGTTATTGATTTCCTCTTTTTTTCTTTTGTTTGATTAACAGACATCACAGCAGCTGGGTTATTAGGTTTTTTGGCTGCTATTACTTTAAGAGCTACCTCTGCTGAACATGACGCAGATCTGACACGCATCATATTTTCTCTCTTTATCTTTTCTGGCATGCTTCAGGTCTTAAAGTCTCTACTAATGATCTGACGAGTTAGATAAGGGAGACAGTGCTGGGCTGCTCCAGGACAGTTTTGAAAACCACTGCATTTCAGAGACATGTTCTTAAATGTCACTCATATGTAACAAATATTTACATACATGCACAGTTTTAAGGCAGCTTTAATCGCATTTTTTGGTAACTTCATGACTTAACTGACAACATAAGCACGACATTGCATGCTCGTAGTTTCTTTTGCGCTTCAATATGAAATGATATATAGTATGCGGGTGCATTTGTGCGTGCACTTGAAGAGCACGTGCTACGAGCACAGTATAATGGCTGACAGGACAGGAAAATTTATTTTTACTGACATATAGCCTGACAACATCTCATCTGACCGCAGTTCACTGTTGTTCTACTGAAGCTCCTCATTTCCACACTCGTTTGACTAGCGCCTGGCGCTGAGGTGAATTTGGAGTGCGCGTCTGAAAAATCTCCCATTTGATGTAGCCGTAAAGACGTTCTGCATCTAAATAAACGCAATTTGTTTAAAAAAAAAGAGAGAGACAGTAGCAGCAGTTGTGAGTGGGGTGGCCAACCCTAGCTCCGCCACTGTGTTAATTGTGTTAAATATTTTTAACGCTGTTAAACTGAAAAAAATTATTGTATGCGTTAACGCACTAATTTTGACAGCACTAAAATAAATAAATAAAACAAAAAGCAAGGCAAAGCAAATAAATAAATAAAAAACAAAAGTAAAACAAAGCAAAGCAAAACAAATAAATAAACAAATATACAAACACAATACAAATAAGAAAGTAAAACAAAACACCAAAATGTGAACCCAGAGTGTGGACCTGAGCTTTAATTTTAGGGGGATTTTCCATCCCACTCACAAAAACACAAAATTCTGCTGCAAAACCCTGAAGTGGGTGTTCATATGGCCACCCTACTTTCGGATTAAGGACATGCTGGGTAGATGAGAAAACCTAACAAACCTCACACAAACATATACACATCATTACATCATAAACATGATATGGAGAAACCTTTTGCTGAAAAACAACTTTTCAGAACAAGAAACTAGTTTACCTCGCCTCATGACCACAGCCACTTGGACCCACTGCAGCTTGCCTACTAACATATAGGTGTGGAAGTTGCTCCAGAGCTTATAATCACTTGAACAAAGCTTGCATCACTGTCAGGATTTTTGTTTTAGCCATTGCCTGCAGGCTGCAACATAGTCCTGCTTCTCAGATTTGTTAAATTGTGCGCTTATGAGGAGTCTAGCCTGCATCATGTCCTAATCCCATTCCTCTCTCTTATTTCTGTCTTAACTGTCCTATACAGTACATTATATTAAACATCCATAAACAAAATGTAGATCTCTCCCTATATCTACATGAAAGGTTGCTTCTACAAGCTACCACACAAGTACATGTCCAAACAGAGCATGACACAAACAAGATACAAGTCATAATCTATCAGGACAACTCCGCTGTATTTACATGAAGAACATTTAAAGGCAAATAAGATGACAAATCACAGCACTGAATCACTACGGATTAATACTATAGGGATCAGATCGCACTTTCTTTACAAACAACATTTTGTCTCCTGGGAGGCAGGATGTGCGATATCTCCCGGGATGTGAAGATGGGAGTAAATGGAGGTTAAAGATTGTGTCAGAAGGCAGGAGTGGGTGACATACCATGGAAGAGCAAAGGAAGCTCCTCTGGTAGAACAAGGGGGGAGAATTTATACTTGCTTCTCTCCAGCATACTGACCTCCTCCCTAAAAAACACACAAATCAAAGCCCTTTATGGAAATACTTGCTTATTTCCTTTGTTCTTACTTACTACTAAAGCAATAAGCTACAGTACACTGCAGTAAATCATCTTCTTAATCTATAGTCAAGAATATATCTTTATGTTTTAAGCATAAATCTACCAAAGAGTTAAAAATATTATTTAATAATAATGAACAACACCAATATATATAATGGTACAAGTTGATTAATCTACTCATCCAGTGTTTACATGAATTATGTTTATTTTTCTCACCCCAATGGCAACTTGTTTCTTGTTTTAAGCATAAATCTCCCCAAAATAATAAATTATTAAATAATAATATCAATAATGTCAGTACAATTATGTTATCTGGTCGAAATACCATGGTATTTTGATATATCATGGTACAAAGTTGATTAATCGACTCATATACCACCATGGTGTTGCTATGAATTATGTTTATTTTTCTTACCCACTGGCATTTTTTTCTTGTTTTAAGCATAAATCTCTAAAAATAATAACTTATTAAATATAACAACAACAACAACAACAACAATAATAAGTAAAATGATATCACCATGTTTTCATACCACTACTCAATTTGTTTGCCAAATACATACATTAGCAATTAATAAATATTTAACAAATGGTTCATTAATCTAATAATCTATTAATCTATTCAAACCTGCACATTACTGGATGGGCAGAACAGTGCTCCTTGAAGAGATACACTCATGCTGTGGGAAGTTTATGCTGTGTGTAGTTCAGACAGCTGAGCATAAGAAGACTTGAGAGCTGAGAGGTGTGGACTGGGTGTGTTATTAACTGTTGAAGTGGAGCTGAGACAGAGCTTGCCACTCTTAATGGCTCCTACGCATTCTTATTGTGGTTTAACACCCTGCCCAACTCACAGACACACACTCACCCTGCCTGCCGTCTCCTCCACGTCTGATAAGGGTCAAAGAGATTTTCGCACAGCAGCAGGCCATGCTGTACCACCAACTGTAAAGTGCTCTGATCATCTGGCTGCTTCTTCAGCTGTAACACACATACATAAACACACTCGACTGAGTCTTACACAATATGCAAACCTATCTGTTTTTGGCTTGTTAACACACAAACATTCCTTTGAATAAAGCAGAGGTCTTCCACCCAAAGCTTTCTGATTAAACCTGTTCTGTTAGTTCAGAAACCTACAACAGCACGTGTAATAAAAATAACTGCATAGTAATATACAATTAAGTGAACAAACGTTTCATTGGTATGTTTAGAATAAATAAAAATGCAACATAAATTTGAACTAGCTTCAAAACACTAGAGTAACACTAGAAAACTGTTAATGAAAATAACATTTTACTTTTTTGTGGCTTTCTTCTGTTGATAGAACAATGTAGAGGTGACAAGAAAAAAGTAATACAAGGGGAACTGGATTAGGAAATGATGTAAACTAAACTCACATTTCCCACATGAGCACCGTGGCTCAATGTATCAGCTGGGGTGCAAACCACTATGAAACGGTTTCACAGACTTTTTGACTTCTCACCTGAGTCAAACAGAAGTTTAGGAGCTTGATCGTCTCAAACACAAACCCCGGGGTCTTTTCAGAGTCTATATTCTCCATATTTCTGCAAGCAGAGATTCACATCAGCAATGGTATTATTGTACACTCAGGGAAGATCCACATCAGCTATGCAATTTAGCATAAACTGCATCCTTGCGTTATCCCTGCTGTTCAAACATAGAAGCTTATCAACAGGGGTTTGAGTCACTGAGGCATTATCAGATGGATTTCACGATGGAGTTCACTCTGTGCTCAGTGGGTACTGACCTGCAGATGATGATGAAGAACTTGATGAGGAGCAGTGGGTGTGGAGCAGTGCTGCTCTGATCCTGCCCTGACATGTGGAGGGCGCTGTGCCACAGCTGGGTGCTGAGGAACACCAATACCTCCTTGGGGAGGAGCGGGACATTGACGCTCCATTCCTCCAGCCTGCAGACAAAAAAGAAGGTTGTTTTGTTTGCTTTTTGTTTGTTTTGTTTTGTTTAGTTTGTTTTTGCTTTCTGTTTGTTTTGTTTTGAGTTTTGTTTGTTTTGTTTAGAGTTTTTTTTGTTTGTTTTGTTTTGATTTCATTTTGTTTTGATAAAGCACTGATGAATAGACATCAAAAAGTCAAAGCACTGTTTTCAGTCATTGAACATACTTATTTACACAGAGCACAAATTAATGTTTCGTCTGCTCTATTTTTTTTATTTATTTTTTTTTTGGTGCATGTCTTCGGCCATTGCATTACAGTTTGCTGTTTTGGTGTTCCTCAAAATCTTTTCCAGACAGCCTTAAGTTGTTTTTTATACGATATATAATATTATATAATATTTTTAATATATATTTTTTTCTAAATTTCAAATTGGCAACCCTAGCTGAACCACAACATTGGGCTGGAATTAATCCTTCATCTGCAACACCACCGCTCAATATACCTAAAGTATATGTGCTAATCTTTAGATCACAGATCTGGTGTGCACATCTGGTGTACATACATCAGATCTGCAGGATTAGATGAAAGTATTCAAAATATTTTTCAAACTCACCAACCATTAAATGAGCAATTAAACATATATAGGCCTTAAAATACCATCATAGTCAGAGGTCCATCTGGACCTGACCACCTACAGATCAACTCCCTGCGTCTGTGACATTTTGATAGGTCATCATGTAACTGACTCACCGGCGAGGCTCCGTCGACTGCACATCAATGGCCTTCTCAAAAGACGCCACGAATGCCTCCAACCACTGCTGCAGGTAAACGACATCTTTCTGAAAGACAAAGAGAGATAAAAGAAAAGAGTAAGAGGCTATAAAACATTTTTTGACAGGACAACCCAATGGTCAGAGAGGTCTAGGTTACAAACAAACTCACACTTTAGGTAATCCAAACTGCTGATCTCTGTGTGTCTATGCGTACACCTTTTGCATCTAAATTGAAAACATCCACTTTTTAAAACCATCCATTGTGCTCAGTCCAGCTGTTTTTGAACACATCTTTTGTGGAAGCCCCTTAAGAAACGCATCTTATCGGGGTCAGGTGAACCCGAAGCCAGATTATACAGTCAATAGTCTCTCAGGCAACCCAACTACTTTTCAACTTGGAAATTATGTAGTTTTGCACATGCGTAGTACGCCTTTACACCAAGAGCATGACTGGGCGCTATCTCCAAAATCAGAGCATGCACACACTTGCGTTAACACAACAGGAAACTACAGAGTATGCAAACTTCTGCAGTGTAACACTGGATACTGTGAATTCATAATGCAATAAATGCAGTGACAGTGGTTTTGTCAATGGGACAAAAGCAAGTACCACTCGCACAATCCATTATGTCTTCCGTTAGACTGTTTGTGCAAATATAAAAGAAGGTACTAATATGCACCTTTTAGGCAAAGATAAGGTTGTCCGAAAGTTGTACTGCCGCAGTAACAAGTTGTCGTACACCTAAATGTAATTTTTTTTCACATTTGTGACCCTGGACCACAAAACCAGTATTAAGTCGCTGGGGTATATTTGTAGCAATAGCCAAAAAAACATTGTATGGGTCAAAATTATTGATTTTTCTTTTATGCCAAAAATCATTAGGATATTAAGTAAAGATCATGTTCCATGAAGATATTTTGTAAATTTCCTACTGTAAATATATAAAAACTTAATTTTTGATTAGTAATATTCATTGCTAAGGACTTCATCTGGACACTATTAACAGCAATTATTATATGATGCAATCAAACTTATAGCAAAATGTGGTAGTTCTGTATGTTGTTTCAGGGTTGGCATCATCTGAGGTCCGATGAGGGGTTGGCATCATCCATGACCAGCACATTTACATTTACAGTACATTTGCAGTGTACATTGTACAGTGTACAATGTTTGCCATATGCCAACAATTATCTGTAATTGTATTCGTTTCTTTGATAAACAGATCTTAATATCGCCACCATTGCAACCTAATCTACAAGAAATTCCCATTATCGCTCTTCAAATCACATTGTTGTTAGAAGTCCGTTTTTTCTGAGGTGTGAAGCGTGAAATTCTGTCATCTTTCCACTAGCCAAGAATGAGCTGGAGCAAGCAAAGCTGGTTATGGATGAGTGCGAAGGAACAACTTTGATGCACACCTGGATCTAATGCCAGCAAAGGCGCATAAACCTTCAGTCGTACTGCAGACCTGCTATTTGATCTCATGAATCAGTATTAACTGAAACAGAAGGCCTGGTTAAACATATCACATGTCCTATGGGTAATTTAATATGCTAAAGTCTTTGTAGAATGTTTATGTAGCAATGCATAGTCATAGGTCTGATTCCAAGAAAACGCATAAACTGACCTTGAATGCAATGTAAGCAGAATGCAGTGAATCATAACTCTGACTTTTATTTTTTCAGTCATCATCAATGAATAAAAGGAAATACTGATATAATTCATCTTTGATGGAGAGATCACAATAACATCTACTGTAAACTTCTGTCAAGAATGAGTCACATGGGTACCAACACCAACAAACCCTCACATGTGACTGTCATTGGAAAGAGGCTGGTGGAAAACATTTTAAAGAGAGAGGAGCTATGCTTAGCTTAAATGATGCGGCTTGATCCACCCACTCATATAGGGGAAGTTGGGCTGTCAGCAGCTTCATCAAACACTCTCTGATATGTACACGATCCAATAGCAACATACAGAGGGCTTCTGGTATACCAAAACAATGTGCACTACAGCAGAAAGTAACTGTAAAATAACATTAAACCTGCTCAAAGTGGAAAGAAACCAACTTTACCAATTGCTGTTCATTTAGGGGCCAGTCCATGTCTCATGGCAGGTGATGTGCGGTGGAGGGGCTCTTGTTACCCCAGTCTCTGCAGAGCCCCCACCAAGTTGCTTCTACAAAGTCCAGAATGTGTCCACCTGTAAGCCTCAGAATCATTCAGAATCCATCATGACGCCTCCGCTGGCTTACTTCTCTGCTCTTTTCTGCTCTCTTGCTGTCTGTACTTCTGTCAGGCAACCAGGAAATGGCAAGTCACTTTAACTGAGCCACATTTCCTGTCTTCTCTCAGCCGGGCACATCGTCACCATGTTCTCTTCCTCCTTTGCCGCTACCACAGCTTTATTGGTAGAGCATGTTTCACCTCGCTACGAACTAAAACCGGTAAGCTACGGTGTACCTGATGCAACCTTTCACAACATTTTTAATAAAAATTCTGTCTTTATTTATTCACTTTCATGTCATATTAAACCATGACTTTCTTACATTTGAGGAACACAAAAAGAGAAATTTAGAATAATGTACTGGCTGCTCCTCTCCACACAGTTATGTGATTTGAAGTTTCGAAAACGACAAAAAGCACTATAAAAGTCTCATAAGAGCGATGTATACAACATGTGTATTCTAATCCAAGTAGTCATATGATGGCTTCATGTCACAAACATGTCAGAATTTTTGGCATTACTGCTTATCTTCCTCTCTAGTGAGTTGTTAACCTCTATGATTTAATCATTGAGTTGAACTTGAGAACTGGATCACTCTGATTCTTCACTCTGATGTTCATGAATCTGACATTGCGGATGTCAAGATTTTCAGAGAATAACCCAATAGTTCACCATAAATTAGAAAATTCTGTCATCAGTTATTTACACTCACGTCATTTTAAACCCTTAAAGGGATAGTTCATCCAAAAATGAAAATTACCCCATGATTTACTCACACTCAAACCATCCTAGGTGTATATGACCTTCTTCTTTCAAACGAATACAATCATTAAAAACTGTCCTGGCTCTTCCAAGCTTCATAATGGCAGTGAATGGGTGACACTATTCAATAGTCCAATAAAGTGTGTCCATCCATCATAAAAAAGTGCACCACACGGCTCCGGGGTGTGAATAAAGGCCTCCTGAAGCGAATCGATGTGTTTTTGTAAGAAAAATATCCATATTTAAAACTTTATAAACCGTAATCTCTAGCTTCCACTAACTATCGTATGCATGTACATGAGAGGGCAGAGGATGATGTGGAACGAACGCGGTGACGAACACGGAAGTGCAGAGGACAAAACACTGGTCACGAATTAGAAGTACAAAACGAGGATTTGTAAAGAAAAACGTTGGAGGATTTTGATATAAGTCAAGAGGAGACTGGTTTTCCTTTTATAAACAAAGGAAACTTTGCTTCCTTTGCTCTAGTAAACAAAATTTGGTTCTCGTGAGACTAGCATATTCTCACCGGAGCTTATGCTACACCTACGTCCTATACATCATCCGCTAGAACTCCACTCTCTCCTCAACGCGCATATCACAGTTAGCAGAAGCTAAAGATTAGGGGTTATAAAGTTTTAAATACGGATAGTTTTCTTACAAAAACTCATTGATTCACTTCAGGAGGCCTTTATTCACCCCCAGAGCCGTGTGGGACACTTTGTTGATGGATGGATGCACTTTATTGGACTTCTATTAGACTATTGAATAGTAACACCCTTTCACTGCCATTATAAAGCTTGGAAGAGCCAGGATATTTTTTAATATAACTCCGATTGGATTCGTCTGAAAGAAGAAAGTCTTATACTCCTAGGATGGCTTGAGTGTGAGTAAATCATGGGGTAATTTTCATTTTTGGGTGAACTAGCTCTTTAAGACATGTATATTTATGTAAGTCTTCTGAAGAGACATGATACACTTTATATCATGAATGTATTTCATTTAGGCTTTTATTCACATATAAACACTGGTCAACGCATATATACATAGGTCACATCAAGTATGCTAAATGATAGTTCAAACTACCTGCTTGAAGCCTGAGAACCAATGAGATTTGATCTTACAGGTCAAGCAAGTACAGTTTATCAATGTCTATGTGCGAATAAAAGCCTAAATTAAATCTCTATATTAGATAAACCAATCATGTCTCTAGAATCGCTTAATTTATATGGATTTCTTTTAGGATCCTTTATGAATTGTTTGAAGCCTCAAATGTTTGATGTAATGGACTTTCAATGGATGGACTCAATTCTTCATTTGTGTATCAAAGATGAACGGATTACTGATTTGGATCATCAGGAGGGGGAGTAGATAACAGAATGGGTGAACCATTCCTTCAAATTTCAGCCTGTTTCTCACACGAGTCAAATGACTTCTGAAGACTTGGTATACAGTGCATTATGTCAGATTGAAGCTGGACAAACCCATTTCTCATTCACTTTCAATAAACTGAAAAAAGCAACAACTGCATAGTAAACCATCATGCTACCTACAGCAGACTGACAAAAATGTGATGATGCTGTAAATTGAACTGAATTCTTTCTATAGACCTTGACAGAGTTGAAAGCCCAGTTGTGCAACAGAGAATCCTCTCATTTTGGTACACAGACCATGGTTGAGTGTGCTGTAATAGCATGCTTTCATCCCACAAAAAGATTTGGTGCGGCTTTCAAGTAATAGCTGGAGGGAAACCTGAAGACTGAGCAACGATCATTGATTCAGTCATCATTATGAATCAGTAGGTGGAAGTGACATGCCATGACTTGACCAGATGCATGAAAAAACACAGCTCGGGAAATGAACCCTAAATTTAAACTCTCAAAGCAATGACACAGAACTGAAGTTGAGCTGGTACTATTGAGTCACTTTGCCGATTGATCACTTGATCCTAACTAAGTGTTGAGCTTAACAGGGGGAAATGCCAACAGTGTGTCTCTGTGGGCCCAGTGTTGCCTACTGTTTATATCATCACCCTTAATGAGTTTTCCATTTTAAGCTCTGGCACAGCTGAATCCAG